CAGACTGGTTTGATCAAGAATTTGGCCTAAAACAAGGATGTATATTATCTCCTACACTATTTTCTATTCTAATGTCTGATCTTGTCTCAATGATAAAAGAAAAGAATCTCTGTATCAATGTAGCGACTGAAGTTATAGGTAGTCTACTCTTCGCAGATGATATTGTTTTACTAGGGAAAACCGAAGAAGAATTACAAACCCTATTAAATATTGCCAGTGGATTTGTTTCTAAATGAAACCTAAAGTTTAATGCCAAAAAATCAAAAGTTCTAGTGGTAGGAAAAAGACTTAACGCATACAAAAACTGGTTTCTAGGGGATGTTTTAATTGATGAAGTAAACGAATATAAATACTTGGGAGTTTATTTCTCAAGAACGTTAAAATTTAATCATCATATCGAGAAATACCTTAAGGAAAACTTTGAAAAGAAACTTAACTATATTATTCACGTTTTAGAACACGGCGATTTTAATCGGTTTAATTTTGGCTGTGCTTTGTGGATTTCGGTTATACATCCATCCATTGCTCATGCTTGTGGTGTATGGTACCCAACGTCAAAATCCGGAACCGAAATGCTAGACAGCTGGCAGTACAAAGTCGCAAAAGTTATAATAAACTCTTAAATGAACTTTCCAAAATGCTCTGTGTTATCAGAGTTAGGATGGGAATCTCTAACAAATTAGATGGACCGTCAAAGGATCACATATTTTGCTAGATTAGACTCTCTACCTGGTACAAGATATTGCAAAATGATTTTTACCGAACTTAAGTTATTAAAAAATGAATATTTTAATCATATAAATGGCATATTCCAGTCCACTGGACTGGACCATTATATACATGGAAACGTTAATATAAAAACATTTAATGAGTTTTTTGGTATTGACGCTTGTAATAAGCTGAAGTCCGAAATTCTAGAAAATCGAAGCCTAGGTGATTACCGTTCATTTTATGTCACACAAGCACGACAATCGTATTTATCAAATGTAGACGATTTTTGGGCCTCTCGTCTTAAATTTCTGGCTAGAACGAATTGTCTTCCATTGAATGCTGTTTTATTCCGCATGAAATTGAAAGATAGTAATGCATGTGAAACGTGTTGTACTGAAGAATCCGTTTTACATATACTGTTAGAATGCCAAGCATATACTGATATTCGAGAACGTTTCCTTTCTGATTTGCACGATTTCCTTCTTAATGCAGGAACCGGCGTGTTTTTCTCAGAGTTGCCTCGTTTTAATAAATTTCAATTTATTATCGGAGACATAGCTTTTTTGTTCGGTGATGATATCGGAAAAAAGGTTGATGAAATGGGAAAACAATATCTAACCTCACTCATTAAAGTTCGCAATGAGTTGTTGCATGTTAATGTCTAAATTATTTAAATGTATGAAAGTTTGAAATTGTGTCAAGTTTATGTGAATATGCATGTATTTTTAGAAAAAGTCTATGTATATATGTGTTATCTTTTAAAAATGTCGCAACGTACTTTTACGGTTTCTTTTATTCACTTTTATAATTTTTATTACCAAAAGTTGGGTTTTAAAAGAAATTGTTTTACGAATATATTGACATTTTTAATGATAGTGATGTTTTTATTTATGTACACTGTATTTATAATATTTATAGTTTGTATGACGCAAACACTAATACCCTGTTGGTGTTTGCCCCCGATGTAAAGGGGTAGTTTCTCAATAAATATATATATATATAAAGTCAATATTTTACTAGAACATATTCTGATCGGAGTCTCCTCCAAATGACGCCCAAAAAATTTAAATATTGAAATCATATTCTGTAGTAATATTTATGTTCTCTTTTTCCTTAATGGAAAACATGACAAATCATCATATCATCACTGAGTCCACTTAAACCAAAGACTTTGACTCTAGTATGTGCTGCTTCTCTGCCTTGTTAGTGGTATTTTGGAGTAACAGCATAGAATGATTGACTCAGAGTTAGGATACTGTGTTTGCGTAGAAAGAAAGAGAATATACCAAGAGACAATACAAAAACAAATCCAACAAAAGCAGATAATATGCTAATATGTATGTAATATATGCATTGACTATTCAGATCTTACTGTAAGGAACATACATATTAACTATGTATATATTACTTCATGGAGCATATATATTGACTGTGTAGATCTTACTGTAAGGAACATTTATATTGTCTATGTAGATCTTACCTCATGGAGCATACATATTGACTTTGTTGATCTTACTCTAAGGAACACCCATTTTGACTGTGTAGATCCTACGGAAGGAACATATATATTGACTTTGTATATTTTACTGTAAGGAACTTATATATTGACTGTGTAGATTTTACTCTAAAGAACATATATTTTGACTGTGTAGATCTTACTGAAGGAACATATATATTGACTGCTTAGATCTTTCTGCATAGGACATATATATTGACTGTGTAGATCTGACCTCATTGGGCATATATATTACAATGTAGATCGTACTGTCAGGTACATATATATTGACTTTTGAGATCTTTCTGCATGGAACTTATATATTAACTGTTGAGATCTTTCTGCATGGAATTTACATATTGGGCCCTTTATAGCTTGCTGTTCGGTTTGAGCCAATGCTCCGTGTTGAAGGCCGTACCTTGACCTATAATGGTTTACTTTTATAAATTGTAACTTGGGTGGAGAGTTGTCTCATTGGCACTCATACCACATCTTCCTATATCTATGTTAAGATCTTTTTGTATGGAACAGATATATTGACAGTGTAGATTTTACTTTCAGAAACAGCTATGTTGACAGTGTAGATCTTACTGTTAGAAACAGATAAATTGACAGTGTAGATCTTACTGTAAGAAACAGATTTATTGACAGTGTAGATCTTACTGTCAGAAACAGATATATATTAACAGTGCTTATCTTACTGTCAGAAACAGATATGTTGACAGTGTAGATTTTACTGTCAGAAACAGATATATTGACAGTGTATATCTTACTGTCAGAAACAACTATATTGACTATGTAGCTCTTACTGTCAGAAACAGATATATATTAACAGTGCAGATCTTACTGTCAGAAACAGATATATATTGGCAGTGCATATCCTATTGTCAAAAAAAAGATATATTGACAGTACAGATCTAACTGTTATGAACAGATATATTGACAGTGCAGATCTTACTATCAGAAACAGATATATTGACAGTGTAGATTTTACTGTCAGAAACAGATATATTGACAGTGCAGATCTTACTATCAGAAACAGATATATTGACAGTGCAGATCTTACTATCAGAAACAGATATATTGACAGTGCAGATCTTACTATCAGAAACAGATATATTGACAGTGCAGATCTTACTATCAGAAACAGATATATTGACAGTGCAGATCTTACTTTCAGAAACGTATAGATCTTATTGTAAGGTACAGTTTTATAACCTAAACACTTTACACCTTCATGTTCAACAGCTTTATACGTTATAAAAAGTATATATATATATATTGTATATTTCTTCTAATGGTCATTTATTTGTAATTAATTGTGTATGCATTGTAGAAGTTATTACTTAGCTGTAAAACTTGTGTTTTATCTGTTTGTTTTATTTTCTGAACAATAATATATGTTTTAACTATATATGTTGACTGTTTAGATCTTACAGTATGGACTATATGTATTCCCTGTGTTACTATAAAGTGTATTTTGTAACTAATGCAGTCTGAGATTTGCTGCAAACTGGTTCACTGACTCGTACCACGCAGAATACAATTAGTCAAATCGAAGAGGATAACGGGATAAAGAAGCTTTTTTTTCATCGTACACACTTTTGGTCTCTCTGATAAGACAAGAGTTTTTGTTCGGAAATTACGTATTTAAGTATACCCCAAAATAATAGAAACAAGTATCAAAGCCGTGAATATATAAAAATAGTATACCGATTGTCATTTTAAAATCAAGGACATCATCAGGAAAAAAACAGTTATACCTCCACCCCTTTAAAAATCAATAAAAAGGAGTAAAAGTAGCAAAACCAAACAAAAAAGAAATTAAAAGAACTAGACTCTTTGTCTTTCTATTTTGTTTAGGTTTTTTAAGGAGTGTCGGGGGTTAAAAATTTTTCCGTTCCGATGCCCAGTATTTCTTACGGAAATTGCATGTTACATTGTTAAACCTCCTTCCTCCCCAAAAAAAAAAAACAAAACAAAAAAACAAAAACAAAATACACCCACAAATCACAACCAAGATTAAAAGAAGTTGTGGTATGCTTCCCAAAGAGTAAAATATCCACCAAAGACCATTATAGGTCACAGTGAGCAAAATCAATACCGTATAGTGAACTGAAAAAGAATGGACACAACAAAATGTAAAACAATTCAAACGAGAAAACCAAAACGGGCTGATTTATGTCAAACCAATAACCTTGGACAGTGGCCTAATAGCAAAGTATAAGAATAGGCTATAGAAAGCGGTTGAAAAGCGGAACAAAACACGAAAAACAGCCCACAAAAAGACAATAGACACAAAGTACTGATAAAGGAGTACTCGCAGTTACTGAAAGCAAGTTCAAAGCCAGTCACAACTAATGTGCCTGTCCCAAGACAGGAGCCTGTAATTCAGTGGTTGCCGTTTGTTTATGTGTTACATATTTGTTTTTCGTTTATTTTTTGTACATAAATTAGGCTGTTAATTTTCTCGTTTGAATTGTTTTACATTGTCATTTCGGGGCCTTTTATAGCTGACTGTGCGGTATGGGCTTTGCTCATTGTTGAAGGCCGTACGGTGACCTATAGTTGTTAATTTCTGTGTCATTTGGTCTCTTGTGGGGAGTTGTCTCATTGGCAATCATATCTTCTTTTTTATATTTACGCCAACGAATTTAGGCTAAAGACGTCATAAACATTCTGAGCAAACCATGGCCCTGTGCCATTCCACCATTATAATTTTCGACCGGATATAGGGTCACACCTGTATTTGTAATCAAACTTTGGAAAATTGCCAGAAAACTAACTTATGACAATAAGACAAAAATTTATTGACTGTAACGTTTTTTTAAGCAATTAGATATCCAGAGAAGGTACTGTAGTTATCACTATCGCTGTAGATTTTTTGACTGGTGTTATTTCTACACCTTATATAGATGCGATCCCTTTTCTTTACGTTCAGTACAACATCAAATGTACCAGTTTTATAACCATCGCCAGTAATGAAACTTCCAGTCATCTTCGAATCGTTGTGCCATAAATGAAGAAATAATGATTTTCCAGATTCAGACATGACAACTGCAGAAAAATGGTACAGACCAGCCATTGGAGCAGTAAAAATACCGGTAGTGACATCATACCCTTTCAAGTTATTTGTCCATACACGATTAAATTTTACAATAGTTGATGGCGATAAAGATTGTGGAGCATCCCTGTAGACTGAAAAGGCAGGAGTTTCTTTTTGTTTCATTTCTTTCCCAAGCCCTCTATGCTCTGAAAATAGATATATTATCTTTATACAGCTTTCTCATTGGTGTTGACGTTGATTTAGATAATGATATTCAATCAATAGTAAATCGGATATATATATTATAATTAAATTTTTTTATATAACTTTCTGCTTAAAATCGAGTAAAAAAAAATCGAATAACGACTTGAATGATATACTATTTAGACAAACTAGACAAAATTGGTTTGTGGAGAAAAATAAGAAAGGGTTAGTTGAAAAAAAAAAACAAAAACAAAATGATTAACAAGTACCTGTTCCTTTCAGCTTTAACATCATTCCAATAAGGTCATCAAACAATGAGCTTTCTGTGAATATAAAACACATTTAAAGACGAGAACTGTTGAGGTTTATCTGTTATGTTGAGCGATTTTTAACTTTAAGCTTTTCAAATTGTTATTTCTTGACATGATTCAAGTTTAAACTATTGCAAATTCTTTAGTTTTAGCTATACAGATATTGCACAGTCTAGTTAATGTGAAACAATTATTTAAAATCTACGCTATTTGAATACAAATAGCAATCCATTTGCATATCATAAATGAAGCTGAAGATATTATAACACACAATACTTCAAAATTGTTTTGATGACAACTTACCAAGTTTAGAGCTACACGAGCTATTCACAACAACTAGTTGTGCAGTTAGTAGTAGCGATATGAGTTGTATAACAAACATTATTACTCTTGTCGACTGGATATATAGAATCGTAAAGTGAAGATGTGCTTATCTGTACTTCCATTCATGTATAACATGTCTTTTATACATATGTACCTGTCTATAGAATCACTGTCATTAAATAGTAACTTGATATTTAACATATTCGTGTAAGAATTGAACAGCTTGTAAAAATATATTTAAAAATATGTTTAGCATGACACGTACATGTATTACTGGAACCTTCCAACTCAGGAACGCTGCAATCAAATACCATCCACATATAAAAAGTCTGTGGTCATCCAATAAAAATGGTCATATAAGAATAAAGGCAACAGTAGCTTACCGTTAAGTTAACCAACAAAAAAAATGAATCATATAAACTCAAAAAGGAGAGGGAAACAGCCTGATGGAAATAAGGCCATATTTGCTCAAAGAAGTTATAACCTTAATTTTTATACAATATTACAATTGTTTTCAATAAAAAGGTACAGGTACGATGCCTTATTAAAGGCTAATTCTTTGGAATGGTTACTAACTCGAGCTCGTACTACCAACGGAGATTAGTTGTTACAGTCCACAAGCAAAGTTAGTACCACTCATGTAGTGTAATATCATCTCCCTCTTGCAAGGTTGACCTTAAAAGGTCATATAGCTTCGAATGAAATTCATGAAGTGTTGTTTTCATTTTTTTTACAAATATATAAGTACTTAAATTTAAATATTCTTTTGAGTTTGAGTCTATATTATAAAGGCAAACCCAGAAAATGCTTCGAAAGCCCCAAAATCCGTGAAGTGCAATTTTAATCATGCATACGCCAAAAAAGTGTTTTTATAAATATATGTCTATAATATATTCGGGTCTGACAGTTTGATATTAAAAACGTGTGAACATTTTTTGTTAATTTCAAAACAAAATGGGCATAAAACGTCACCAGTGTCTGAGTAGAAAGTTGATGAGCCAAGATTGTGTCAAAGAACGTCTCGTCCTTTTTCTAAAAAAGTTCATTGGAAGATACCAAGACCTTGTTGATAAATATTCTGTGTCAACTTCACAAATAATACATGATGCTCTTGAAGTATAGATTAAAGGTACTGATGACGTTGTTTGTCATCTTAATTACGTGTTCTACTGTTCTTTTTATTTGACCTTGTACATTTTTTAACCTTTACTGTTTAGTCCATATTTGGTAATAAACTTTTGGTGTGGCTCGTAACTTATACATCCCACCATTGTGTTATTGTGCTATGGTCTGTTTTGTATTCTTGTCTTTCATTTTTTGCTAACGTACTTTGCCATTAGAGTGTCTATATGCCCTTTTTTGTCTTTATTAAAATAGTTATTTGTTTTTAATAAACGCAAGAACACTCAGGACAGAGAAATACATAAATAAATAATATAATAGTACATTTCAACATGTTAACCACAGAATAACAACGGACACCTCCCATGAATTTACGACAGTACACCAGGACACCACAATAGAATTATACACTGTGCGTCACATGAATGTATCAACGCCACAAAAAGTGACGTATTTTTCGTGACGTTTATTTTATCACTGGTAAATTTCTAAAAATAGAATATAAAATTGGGCTTGAGTTGGATTGGAGTTATTTTATGTATTTTCTAAGAAAATAAAAATAGAATTCAAACCACAAACGATAAGACATAACACAATATCCAATCAGACTTACAAAAGAAACATCATAACTAAATACATGAATGTTGGATGTATAAATACCGAGACACGTCGTATAGCAATGCGAATTCACACCCGGCAAGTCATATTCGGGAATAGGTCACATTCGGTACTTAGCAGACCAGACGACGTAGATGGTAAAGCACAATCTAAGACGTGGCAAAAATGTCATTAGTTAGTTTAGACACAGATACATCGTATAGATCAACCAATTCGTGAAGGTGTCCATAAAGTTTACGGAGTGTCATTTTTAATCTTTCCTCCTCATAACTCTGTTGGAGCAGTTTCTGCGTAAAGAGCACACTCCTGTATATCAAGTCCGTATAGTGTGAACATGCACGAGCATAACGTATCAACTGAGATATGTAAACACCATACGACGGGGCAGATGTATGTTACTGCTAAGAAATGGGAAATTGATAATTGGGAAGTTGAAATCGTCCCGTTTGTCACAGATTTCAGGGTGAAGACGTCCATCTGTGTCAATATTGAGGAAAAGATCAAGGTATGAAGCATTCCTTTTCATTAATTTCAAGTTCACTGGGATATATGAGATGTAAGTACTGACTGAACTATGGGTCATTCAGTGATAGGACATCATCAATATCTCTGAAAGTAAAATTAAAGAATTTCGCAAGGTGCTTTTTCTTTTTGTCTTTTAGAAGGTTCTAAATGAACTCTGCTTCAATTCGAGTACAAAACTATTCGGCCACAAGGGGTGCACAATTATTACCCATTGGAATCTTTGTTGATAATAGTTGTATATTGTTATAGTAATTTAGATTATAACACAATGTATTTGTATCCATCTGATGAGTTAAGCCTTTTTCTACTGATTTTTATAGTTTGTTCTTATGTTGTACTGTTACACCACTGTCCCAGGTTAGGGAGAGGGTTGGCGACTTCAAACGAGTTTAACCCCGCCACATTCTGTATGTGCCTGTCCCAAGTCAGGAGCCTTTAATTCAGTGGTTGTCGTTTGTTGCTGTGTAACATATTTGTTTTTTTCGTTCATTATTTTGTACATAGATTAGGCCGTTAGTTTTCTCGTTTGAATTGTTTTACATTTGTCATTTTGGGGCTTTTTATAACTGACTATGTGGTATGGGCTTTGATCATTGTTGAAGGCAATACTGTAACCTATATTTGTTAATTCCTGTGTCATTTGGTCTCTTGTGGAGAGTTGTCTCATTGGCAATGATACCAAATCTTCTTATTTCTATATTGACTACTGTACCCCAACTTTTTACATTTTTACCTATTATGTCTGTTTGTGTTGCTCACACATTGTTGTCAATATAATGGAATTCTATGCGACTGTCATACAAGTGAGAGATTTAGCCTGTTTAAAAACGAGATTTACACCACCATTTCCGACAAAAGGAAATGTCTGTACCAAGTCAGGAATATGACAGTTGTTTTCAAGTCGTTTGATGTGTTTGAGCTTTAGATTTTACTATTTGATAAAGGAATTCCCGTTTTGATTTTTCTTGAAGTTAATTTGTTTTGTTATTTAACTTTCTATCGGATATGTTTTTATTTTACCTATCGTTGATTTGTTTTAAACTATTAACCAATACGAACAGACAGACGAGTTCTTCATCGGTAAATACAATCAGTACGTCTCTTTTTAATAAATTTAGAACTTCTTACACCGAATTTTAGTTATTGATGTAGAAAAGGAAGCTTATTGCAAAATTATGATACGGAAAAGAAATAAGACATTTCATAGACGACATCAGTGGTGAAGCATTTGGAACGGTACAAACATAAGGAAATATTATTTTACGGAAGTTCAAATCTCGTACATCGATGAGAAAGAGATAAACTAAGGTAAACAAAAACTGAGAGAAACTCATAACTCATAAAACTCCAAAGGAAAAAGTATGTTGACAGAGGAATAGTCTGCTATTCGTGCGTCACCCGTCATACGATTCCGCTCTCCATGTCAAACTTAAAAAATCGATTAGAACACAATTAACAAAATAACAAAACTGATGACCATACTGGTATCTAAAGATATAAGACTACAAAACCTGTCACTAGATGACACGGACGAAATTTCCACGAAGGCTTATGTACTTTAAAACAAATCATGTACCCGGGTATTAAAGATCATTTTACTTTGTGTTTAACAGCTTGATGAAAACATAATATTTGAGAAAAAAACTACATGTGGCAGATAAAATGATGGAGTAGGAATAGAGCATAACAAAGTTAGAATCAGCAGTTTCAAAACGAAGACAAAGGCGACATCAGATCCAATAGAAAAAACACAAACCCCTCTTGTACCTCCCCCCCTAAAAAAAAATAAATCATCCGAAAAATTTCATGACGACCCGGTTTTGTGTCTAAGATTGATAACTGCAATTATGTATAAACTCGTCTCATACTCGAAAATAGTAGTCTAAAGAATATATAAAAAGTGAATACCTGTAATACTAAAAAGAAGTTTCAAGACGTTCAGAATAATCTGATAACTCTGATTCCGTTAAAATGTAAAACTTTGTGATTAAGTCAGTTTAAGGGTAAACGTTAATGGTAAGTCAATAATATTTGGTATTCAGTTGTATATGCATTTTCAAATTTAATTTCCATGGGGATTATATGGTTCTGACCCTCAGTCATGTTTTATTGACTTAAAAACGTTTGCTTCATTTAAATGTAATACTTTGTGATCAAGTTAGGGTAAACGCTAATGGTAAGTCAATAATATTTGAGATTCAGTTGTATATGCATTTTCAAATTTCATTTCCGTTGGGATTATATGGTTTTGCTCCTCAGTCATGGTTTATTAACTTTTGCTTCGTTTAAATGTTAAACTTAGTGATCAATATAAATAAGAAGATGTGGTATGAGTGCCAATGAGACAACTATCCATCCAAGTCACAATGTGTAAAAAATAAACAATTATAGGTCAACGTACGGCCTTCGACACGGAGCCTTGGTTCACACCGAACAGCAAGCTTTACAGAGCCCCAAAAAGACTAGTGTAAAATAATTCAAACAAGAAAACCAACAGTCTAATCTATATAAAAACGAGAAACGAGAAACACTTATGAACCAAACCAACAAACGACAACCACTGAACAACAGGCTCCTTACTTAGGACAGGTGCATAAAAATGCAGCGGGTTTAAACGTTTTAACAGGCGCCAACCTTCACCCTAACCTGAAACAGTGGTATAACATTACAACATAAAAAGATTCACAATAAAATATCAAAGTCAGTTTAATGGGAAGTCAATAATATTTGGTATTCAGTTGTATATACATTTTCAAAATTTATTTCCATAGGAATGATATTGTTCTGCCCCTCAGTCATGGTTTATTGACTTAGAACCTTTTGCTTATTATAAATGTAAAACTTTGTGA